GCATTTGGCCCTTACCCTGTGTTTCTCATTCCTAATAAACCTTATGTATTTCCCCTTCCAAATGGCATAATTCTTAATAGTTTCCTTGAATTGTTTGGTCGAGGCAAATACCATTCCTAGCTTGAATTCAGGTTTCCTCATGTCTGTTAATGGCCTAAAATCTAGATATCTCATCTTCGCAGTATCCAACTCATCATCATCATCAGATGAACTATGCAATACTGAAGTTCATCTGATGCAGCATTGTCAGATATAACATCATTCTCATTGGCATTAATCTCAGTATTCATATTGTTTTGCCCAACACCTTTATCCCTCAATCCATCCAATTCAACTTCATTATCCACATAAGTATCAAACAAGTAGTCATCAGTTTGTCCATCACTGTTTGAGAAATCCTCATAATTTGATGTATCTGAGTCACATGCATCAGAATTTTCCTCATTTTCTGAATCCTTGGCATCATCTGCAATGTCACATTCTGTATTGGGGATTTACTCATCTTCATTTGGTGTGTCACGTTCTAGGTATACTTCAATTACCCTAATATTTGGAACCCACTCCAACATTACTGATATATCATAATCACGATTTGATACCCTCAACCCTTTTGTGAGATCCATATGTGGAACTTTATACTGATAACCAATAACCCCTGTACACCCTAGTTCCTTTGCTATGTCACTTATCTCAGGGATGGAGATTAGGTCAAGATCACACCAATCAACATGCCTACTATACTCACCCTTATATACCATCTGAGGTATGCACTCAAATTCTCCACCATAAAGCAACTCTATGGTGAATAATGCTGAGTTCACACCTGTGCAAAAAGTTAGAAAACATCTTCAACCATACCCAATATATCCTATACCATAAACAATACAAAAAAAAAAAAAACACACACACACACACACACAAGACAATGCTTTGTCTCCCACTTAGATTAAGGAATATGGTAAAAAAACAACAAAATCTGTTCAAAACAAGAGCTTGTAGAATATTAAACCAATTCAAAACAAATGAATTTTTAATTTATTCACACGCACAAATGAATTAAAAATTTCACACTTACCATACATTTGATCTGGATTAAAAGCAACATCCACTAGTTGGATTTCCCAAGGCATGTCTGGTTGATGAATACAAGCCCTCTTCTACAAATTGTAACTGTTTCTTCTCAATCGTCCTTGGAATGAATTTCTACGCATGATCCACAATGAATTTGTGGCAATGGATACAAATCGTATTTGGGAGCAGACGTTTGGCGATCCGTCATTCTCGAGGAGGGAAAGGGGAAGAAGTTTGACGCCAATACTCAGATCCATTGAGTATAATATCCATTATGCCCTTAGTTCCTGACACTTTTCTTGTTGTCATTAGTTTTAACGTCTGAAATAGATAGAATGAGTTGATTGGTACAAATGTAAAAATATAAGGGCAAAATTGGTACAATTGAATATTCAGGGGCCAATTTAAAACAGACACTAAGGTTCGAGGGGCATTTATGTTGTTTACCCTTATTTTTTTGGGAGGGGGGGGGGAAAGGGGGACTTGAACCCTTGACCTCAAGAAAGCAGAAAACCTTCACAAGACAAGAAGTAGAATTGGACCAAAGCCCCGTTGGTAAAATGAATTATTTTTTAAATGAGAGGAACTGGATCTAAATTACCCAAAAAAAAAAGTTGTACACACAATAGTCTACTTTCCCATTATTTGCAATCTATCAACTAGTGCAAATATGACAATTTCTGAAACTGTTGTATGAACTGAATGCATAGTGAGTCCTTATTTTCTTTCTACACCTTTATCACTCATTCACATTTTATCTAAAATTTGGTATACACTAATTCAAGTAAGTCTACTAGTAGTAAGTCATTTTTATCTCTGTAGAAGAGAAATCCTATATCACAATACATGCTTATTAGGATATGCTTTCGAACGAATTATTCTCCAGATGAGAAAAACCATATCTAAATTAAGCATGTGCATCAATAGCTTTGATACATTTTCACAAACTAGAAATGTTGTGAGATTTTTTATTTTTGGGTCATCAAGAGCTTTGAGATGATCGCTATAAATTGAGATTTTTTTAGAAACAGGGAATATCAAATATGATAATTAAGAATTTGATCAATGTTTTCGTCATATTAGGCGCATTACTGCAGGATGATTGCATGAGTCTGGTCCATCCTTCCAATATTCTTATTATTCGAGTACGATTGGATTACCAACCCTGATTTGGGGAGATTGGAACTGTAGAATGGGGACCTTAATTTATTTTTTGATTTTCTCGGTAGTAGACTACTCATAGTACATTGGTGTAAAACCCGTTTCCACGTAGTGAGTCTCACTTGGATTTATGGTCGGATTCAAATCCCAGAGATAAAATCAAAGAGAGAGAAAGAGCAACAATACCAGTTGCGAGGGATATGTGCACAAGACTAACCAGTAAACTTTCGGGGAAAGGAAAAAAGATGAAAGAAAGAGAGGAATCTTGTCAGTAGTGTTCAAAGAAAAGCCATAAGGCATTCAAGCCTTAATGTTGTTGCGAATCGCAACTTCGGAAGTGTTCCATTAATAGTAGTAGACAACCAGTCAGTATTACCCAAGTTTTCTCTAGAAGGACTTAAAAACTGCTCACTTTCAAAACCCCAAAGAATCATTGAAATATGAAAAATGCACGGATATCCAAAAAGATGTCTTTTTTTATTATTATTAATTTCACTTTTAGTCTTAAAAGTACTTATTTTTTTTCAGTTTAATTTTCATTGTATCAATTTTATCAATTTTTTTTTTAAATATTCAATTCAGATCATTTTGATCCTTACATAGACGGACCGTCAAGTTTTAGAACATAAGTGACTATATGTCATTTTTTTAGACGGTGTCATGTGTCCAACACGTGATCATTCTGTTAAAAAAAAAATCGTTAACAATTTTGATGTTGTCTATTTGAGGGACCACATAAAAACATATTCAATACTTTGGGGGCTAAAATGATACAATTAAAATATTATAAACTAAAATGAGACAAATTTTATACTTTGAGGACGTTTAATACCATTAACCCTCAAATAAATGAGTTGTAGTCTATGTTGTGAACAAAATATATTTGTGACTACATTTTCAGCATTTACTGTCAAGCTTGTCACAGAGAATTGAGCTCTTCTCATCATATATTTGTATTCTGCATATATAGTAATTGTTCAATTGTTGGATGTTGAACATTCTTACGCAACAATAACTTGAGAGTGAAGTTGGTACATTGAACAAGCTATTGTTAAATCCTACGATTTTACCAACGTGCATGTCTTAGTTGGAACATGGTCCTGTCGTCCATCCGAGGAGCCTTTTTTTTTTTTTCTCTAGTTGTTTTGAATTGTATATTTTGTTCTCTTAAATACATATTTTTTTAATATATTTAAATTTATAATAAATTTTATTTTTTTTCAAAATAATTTACGTACAATGCACGTATATATAAAACTAGTACTACTATATAAAACTCACGTGATACTAATTAATAAAAAGTTGTTGGCTAGAGATAGACAATCATTAACTTTAGATGAAAGGGTAAAAAAGAAACGACTGCTTGTGATCTAACAGAAAAAATGGCTATTGATAAGAATATATGGTGTAATTAATTAAATAAATTTGATTAATATTATTAATTAATATTTAACATTAACTCAAAACAATTCGACTCAAACACAAAGGATAAGACTTGATTATAAAGCTTAAGGTTGTGTTTAGCGTGAGCTGTCAAAATAAAAGTTCATCCTTAAGATGGACTTTTTAAAGTACCTAACTATTTTAAAATACAAGAGAGACTATTCTTCTCATGCAGTCCGATTCCAAACGGCACTCTCACCGCAAAAGTCCACTGTCCAATACATGCAATTAGGATCGATAAAAAGTCATATTGTGTGAAGATCGTGTTTGACTTATATAGTGTCAAAGTTTATTTAATCTCTACTGCATTCATCATTTAGTTGTGTATTATTACATTTGTGTCACATATAAACCGTGTTTTCATAGTATTTTAACAAGTTTACATCATATTTAGTTGGATCAATATTAACTCATTTATTTGATGAGTTTTGACAAATCTAACTAATAATAGTTCAAACCCACTAAAATTAAAATTAAATTTAATAATTTCGTGCTAATTTTGTGCAATTTTATCAATGATTGAAATTTAATATAACGACAGTTCTATTGTGACATGGATGTCAAAAGTTCAAATCACAAAAATAATATCTCTACATGCGAGGGTACTAATCTTTCTTAGATTCCACAATAACCGGAGCCTCGGTCGCACTTTGTCAAACACTATAGGTAACCCGTGTCTGAAGGCATGGTGTAATGCGAATATTTTTTAGAGAGATATTGATGACCGTTAAATAAATTTATTTAACAGGGTTAGAAATTTGTCTTATTTGAGAGACTACAAATGCAACATTTCCTTCTAGTGGCCATTAATTAATACTACACAGATACCTTCCGACCTCCACACAACTATAAACCTAATCTCAACCACGCATCCAATCTCAATCAACAAACGCATTCAAAACCCAGCAACACCCCCCCCCCCCCC